GAAGGAGGAGGGGGGGGGGTCTGGCTCTGGACCTCTGCTTAGTGCGACTGTTTGGGACCGTGCGTCCCATAGGAGAGAGACTCCGCCTGCTCGAAACAGGCGACAAAAACAGCCAAGATCTACTCCACGGGGGAGGGGAGGGGGGGGGTGCGAGGGCCCGCGCCGATCGGCAAAACAAGTAATACAAAACGATCACTTGCTGCCGCCGCCTGCCTTCTTGCCTCATCGTTGCTCGTTCAGCGTGCTGGTTTCACATCACATCTGAACGCAGCAATGCCCGCGGCCGATACCTTGGCGCCCTGAAGGATTTTCACCCTTTGACTAGTCTCGACGAGTCCAGCTGCGAGTGCCGCCCTCAGCCTGATCAGCCAGCGGTTGAATCAGAGATGCAATCCAAAAACGGCGGGAAGTAAGCCGCTTAGCCGCTTAGCCGAACCAGGCAGGAGTGAGCTCGAGATCAAGCCAGACTTGTCGGGACCGAGCCGGAGAAGCAGGGAGGGGCCGGATCAGAGGAAGCTCGGCCGGACGAGGCCAGGTTTCGGCCAGGGATTGGCCAGTGCCATTTCAACACGAAACCTCCCAGGAGTTGCATCTCAGCCTCGGGACGGGCATGTCCTCCTACAGGCGGACTTTGAAAGAAAGTGCACAAGAGAAAGAACCCTAATCAGTGGGTGGTTTTATCGATACAGAGGGAGCCCAAAACCCACCGAAATCGGCCTGGAACCAATGAGCAGGAACCCGGGAACCCGGAACTGAGAACCCGGGAACCCAGCCAGTTGCCCAAATCGGCGGGAAACTTTCGCCAAATCCTTCACTTCCCGCTAGGACCCCTTCAGTGCAAGCACCGGTTGGGGAAATATGGAGCAACTGACAACAAAAATACCCAACAAAAGTCCACAATGTTCAAGACATCGGTCCCTGACGATTTGTTTTGCTATTTCTGAATCGTGCTCCTGCAAAGCCATACACCCGGCTTGATCCTAGCCTTAGGTCGGGCATGCCCTCGCACAGGCGGATTTTGGGCGAAAGTTTCAACAAAAACAAAACCAAAACAACTTTCAAACATAATCAGAAGTAATCGAAAATCCGAGCTTTGGATGTTTGGATTATCCCAGAGTAGTCGTAACGTCCCCACAGTAGTTCCTTAGTATGTTTGGATACTCCTCCTGCAGAGGGAAACGCCCGGCTTAGTCTTGGCCCGTGGTTGCCTCTCGGCGCGTGCCGCCGGGGGGGCGCGGGGGCGCCCAAGAGAGAGGGGGGCGTCCGAGAGGGGCGCGTGCACGTCGTCGTCCAGGGCACGTGCGCGGAGCGGGGGGGGGGGCCAGGGAACGTGCTGGAGCAAGAGGAGGGGCCACGACATCGGGGGAAGGATCTCAGGGCCCTGGCCCTGAGATTCCCCCCCCCGCTGGTCATCAACCCCCCCCCTGCCTCTCTCTGCCGCCCCCGACCCTGGCCCTCGTCCCGCACCTCTCCTCCCGGCCCGTGCTCACTCCTGGGTGCCTCGGCCAGCGAGGAGGAGGAGGAGGAGGAGGAGGAGGAGGAGGAGAAGCAGTGTAAACCCAGCCCGCATCAACGATGTTGCAAGCAAAAAACATCCCTCAAGCTAAATCTTCATGGGTCCCTGCAATAATCGATGCTCATTGCGGGCAGTGCCGAATTGGAACACAACCGCCTGAGAATCCCCAATCTGCTCAAACACCATCCCAGGGACTTCAACGCCACGATTAAGCGTGACTGTTGCGTCCTGACCACCCTCAGACGCACCAGGACAACATTCCTGGGATTTCACAAGCGCGAATCAACGTGACTGTTGCGCCCTGACAACCTTTAGTCACACCAGCACGCAATTCCTGGGACTTGAACCATGCGAACTCTTGAGACTGTTACAAACTTTGGAAACGAGTGAACGCGACGCTAAAGCGAGACACGCACTTTGGACAGGGACCGCCCTCCATCAATAAAACTGTTGCACACCTGTAAAACGAATATGCGCGGCGCTAACACGAGAGCGACATATTGAAAACGGGCCGCCCTTCATCCGAAAGCCGCGACAGGAAGGTGTTCGTTATAAGGAAAAGAGAAGAAGGAGGCGGAGGCAAAGCAGGAGAATAGAGGCCTCCTAGATCGTCTCGGAGTAGATGTGGTCGGAGGGTCGCGCCGCATCGGCGACGTCGGCGATGCAGCGGCGCCGTCGGCGTGGAGAACATCGGCCTCCGCATCGAGCCGCATTGGCGATGCATCGGCCATGCGGCGCGATCCTCCGACCCTATCTACTCGGACCCCATCTGGGAGGCCTAGAGACGAGGAGGACGACGGAGCTCGGTGGGTAGAAACCACGGGCAGGGAGAATCGGGAGCGGCCAAGAGGGGGGTGTCCAAGAGGGGGGGGTGCAAATCATGACCGGCAGCATGTGCGCGGCCCAGCGGGGAGGCCAGGGACGTAATGGAGTAAGAGGAGGCGCCATGAAATCTGGCGAAATATCATGACCCCCGCCATGAGATCCACCCCCCCTAGTCATCACCCCCCTCTTTGACGCCCCCGAGAGAAACGCCCAGGGGCGTTTTCTCCCCTCCTCCCTCGCCCGCCCTCCCCCTCGCCGGCGGCTCCAGCCTCCTCCCTCCTCCACCTCTTCGTCCTCCTCCCGCCTCCCTCCTCACCCCTTCGCCCGTGCCCCCTTCTCGCCTCCCTCCCTCGCTCCTTCTCCTCCTCCTCCTCCTCCGCATCCTTCTCCTCCTCCTCATCATCATCCCTTCTCCACTCCCCCCCATGCCGTAGTCTCACTCGAGACACGCGGGCCGTCCCCATGCCGCTGCCAGCCAGCCACATGCCTCTCCTGTCCATCCGTGGCTGTGAACACGTATTGGCGCTTGCGTATCCTCTGGAACACTCGGGGGGCCTCAAATAATCCCCCAAACCGGCACGGACATCTGAAGGCCTGGGGGGAAATGGAGTCTTCTCGAAGACCCCGGGAATCTGTAGACCTTCCTCTTGCGCCCCCCCTGCCTTGCCTCTCTGTGTCGACCAGCGGTGCCAGCAGCGCGGGTCGGCTGTTTCACTTGGTGCATCCTCGCAGATCATGGCGCTGGCGAGCGACAGAAGGGTATACCCGCCAGTCGGAAGAAGCAGGTAGAAGTACGAAGAAGGAGGGCGTTGAAAAGAGATTGGGTTCGTGGGGGACTCCCGCCCGGAGTAGTCGGCAGGAGCAGGAGGAGGAGCAGCCCACCCCCCATAGGGGACGGAAAAGGTGAGACCACTCAATAAGTGAAGTAGGAAGGCGCCGAAAGTCGATTGGGATCTGGGAATCCAAAGCACCTGCTTCAACGACTGTCGTGCATCGTTGTTCGAGTGTGGCTCTCCCATGTTGCGCTTCACATTGGTCTTCAACGCCTGCGGCAGGTACGCTGACGAACGGCGGGTGGTGTCCAAGTTTGGGATCTCGCCTTGGGGCCCCAGTCATCCGACTGTAAAGCTCACAGGGGTCACAAGGATGAGCATGGTGTCCTTTTGAAAGCATTCGACGCGGAGATCTCGATATGTGCATCGATTTGCCTACACATTTTCCGCTGCGAGCGTCTGCGTGCGAGAAAATCTAAGCATGAACGGTTCTGAGCATGATAATCGGGGGGAACAGGTGAGCCTGAGTGCGAATGAGTCAGAACGTGAGTGGGTCAGAGTATGAGTGAGTCTGTGCGCGCAAGTGTGAATGACTGTGAATAGCCTCAGCGTGGGTGTGAGCGTGAGAGGTCTGAGTGCATTTGAGTGTGCGTGGTCCAAGTGTGAGGGTGGACGTGCAAGGTCTGAATGGTCTGAGTGTGAGTGTGAGTGGCTTAAGTGTGAATGGTCTGTGTGCGAGTGTGAGCTTGAGCCACGTGCATTTGGCACCGCAGAAGAAAGCCGCCCGACACATCCCAGCAAGTTGGAGCCCTTGAGGTGCTGGAGCCACCGCCCCGCTTGAGACATACCCACAGCCTGTGCTGAACGCAGACGAGCCTAGCTGGGGCCCGAAACACGCAAACAGCCGGAGGCGTCCCTTCAATCTGGGCGCGAAGGGGCCTGTGATACACCTCCTGGCGGCTCTGCACCTGGTCAGGTGGAGCCAGCGCCCCGCCTCCGATACCCACACACACAATACAAGCTGATCCGAACGCACGGGATGTCGCGCATGCGAAGCAGGCAAACCGCCTGAGACATCCCCACAATCTCGGCGCGAATCGCTTGAGACCAGCGCCTCGCTTGAGACATCCTCACAAGCTGCTCCGAAAGCGAAGGTTGTTGGGCATGCAAGAAGGCAAACAACCTGACAGGTCCCCACAATCTAGGCGCCAATCCTGGAATGTCCCACCCTGGCGGCTCCCCTCCTGGGTGCTGAAGCCAGACCCTCGCCTGAAACATCCTCATGCATTGATCCGTAAGTAGGGCATGTTACGCATGCAGAAGAATCCAAACGTGAGACCCCAGGAGGTACATTGATGATTTGATGCGGGAACGTTACGCTTTCCATAGCAAAACCATCGGAACGCAAGAAACCCAGGGCACCCTGGAGGCAAGCAGGGTGTTGCTTGAGATGGGCCTCCATTGTAGAAACACCCCCCCGAGAGACTTTAAGCACGGGGCTCTCGTCCGTCACTTCCTCGTGCCCGAGGGCCCGGAGCGAGAGCAGGCGCACAAGCTACACACACACGTGGAGGGCGCCTCCTGCTCCATAGCGAACGGCGCGCCCCATGCTTCCATTGTCGAACGCGGCACCCTGTTCCAGACGGGTTTTCCGCCTGGCCGCAGCAGCTGTTTAGTCGTCCGTCGTTCACGAGGTCGGTCGCCATCGTTTGCCTTGAACCCTGCTGGGTGACGCTGAGGTCTGCTGCCACTGCTCCCCCCTTCGCGCAAGCGCTGATCCCAACAATACGGCTGATCCTGGCTGGCCCATTTAACGGCTCATAGAATTGTTCCTGCACGTTGGACCGCCGCTGACAATGCCAAGCGAGGATGCCAAGCCAACGTAATCACGTCGGTTGCCCAACGTGGTCCTTCACGCACAATGCTCCAAAATGTATTCGAAACCGCTCAAGACCGATCTGAAGCTGTCCCGGGAATCCTGCTAAATCGCGAGACGACCTCTCGTAAGCTGTAATCACCACTTTGTAAATGTCCCGCAAATTCGGCGTCAAGTTGCTCTCCCGCATGTCGTCGAGCAACGACAGCGCATGCCGCCAGTGGCCGCATCTCTCACACGCTATGATTCCGGCGATGTAGCTGACTAGGGCTCACCCGTGGACTACCTACCGTCCACGCAATTTGTACGAAGTGGCATGTGATGTGATGACGCTAACTCGGCGGCGAGCCAGGAGATCATTGGGAGAAGAGGGAATGGGGGGGGCCTCGTTGGGGCTGAAAGGAGGAAGATGCGCTGGTAAGGAGACAAGATTGGCGGCGAGCGAGGGGGGAAGTGAGAAGGAGAATGCCTTCCCAAGGATTTCTCAGAAACCCTCGCACCTTCTGACACGTCCTCTGTCTCCGGGGAAAGACTTGGAGCCTGCCCAGAAGGCTGGGGGGCTTCCAAGCCTTCTGAGAGAAGGCCCGCCGCTTCCCACTTCCCCCAACAGCTTGCCGCCAGCAAGAAACCAGTGGCCAAGAGCGAGGAACGGTGGGCCAAGAGAGAGAGGAACGAGGACCAAGCTGGGGCCAGAAGTGATTCTAGAGAGGCGGGGAGGGACGGGCCTGGAAGAACGCCAGGGAATCTTGGGGACCCGCAAGAAACCCCGTGAACTGGCAAGGACCGCTTGCCTGCTCTTCTGCCCGCCTGGTGCCCTGCTGCCGACATGGCTGGACTACTGAACCGATCGCTTCTCACCTGATGGACCGCGGACTGGTTGCTTGCTCTTCCCTGAACAGCTTGTGTTTGAGAATCCTGCGCCTGGCTGCTGCTGTCCCCCCGGCTGCTCATCGTCGAACTCTTCGGCGTCTGAGCGTCCGTTCCTCCTCTCGACCGTCCCCCCCTCCGCTCGCCAGCCAATTCGCTAGCCACTGCCCCTGCCTAATTTCTCGCTGGAGCGGAGTTCGCCGCCTCGCCGCTGCCGATCGAGAGTCCTGTTAACTTCTGGTAAGCAACCAAATGCGGGGATCGCCTGATGTGTAGTCGGTCGGGTGCATGTGGCCTCCCGTGGTCACCAGGTGGTCCTGGTCCCCGGTGGTCTCCCATCGCATTCAGTTCGTTGCCGGGAGTAGAGCTGCTACAGCTACTCCAGTTGATATTCCTAGTTCTGGCACCTTGCTCCCACTCCGATGTCAAGTAGCAGAAGCAATAGCACAAGTTCTACGACGTACCATTCGTATACATACTGCTACTGGGATATGAGTATTGGTCTACATCTGGCGACTACCCTGGGCAGCAATATCAGCAACGACATGCAAACATCAGAATGCATCTGGCATCATGTGCTCACATCGTATTGCTCGTACCATGCAAGGTGGAAGTGTCATTAGTATCGTACTGCTAGGGGATAGCGACGATCACAAAGATATTACTGACAAGGATCTCGTATTAATACTCGTAGTGGGAACAGACTCGTAGTAGGAACAGGCTGCCGACTAACTAAACGAAGCCAGGACGAGGATTGCACCCGGTGAGGACGAATCGAGAATCTGTGAGATCTTCCGGCTCTGGAGGATGTTTCGGGCGCCGCGGCCTTCTCAGAGCGTTCCGGGACGCTCTGGGAGCGTTCCGGAACGCTCTGGAATGAATGCGTTCTCGTCATAGCCCCGTCCGACCCTCTGATAAACCCTCTCGGGCCGTCTAGGGGCCATCCCAGAGGCCCATTGGGTAGTCGTGGACTGGCAGGAGGCTGCGAAGGCGAGAGCGCTGGAATTCAGCAACACGGATGATGCTTGGCCCCTCGGAGACCTCCCAAGGCGTCTGAGGGTCCTCATGTGCCGTCTGGGGGCCCCTTTGGAATTATTTCCGGCCCCATGAAGGGCTATCGAGGGCCTGCCCAGGTCACCTTGGTGGCATCTTGGGGCATCTTGGCACCTTGTTCAAGCTCATGGGTCTGTCTAGGGGCGTCCGAAGCCGCCGGGGGGGGGCCAAGCCCCACTCGGTGCAAGACCCCTCCTGCACGCGCGGGAACCTGCAATGTAGTGACGAAGACGGTATTCGGATCCTGCTTCGCCTCCCACATCTCGCTCAGCAACGCTAGAACCCGCTGCCACTGCTTGCCCTTCCCGCACGCGCTGATCCCAGCGTTGTAGCTGACCCGGCGTTGTAATCTAGACTAAGGCTGACCCGTGGACTCCGTCCACGGACTCTGCACGAACTGGCACGTGCTTGTGGACATGCTGCCGAAAAGCTGAAATCACAGCGTCAGGCTCGGCGCTCGCTTTCGGCGCATACTACTGCGTGCTGCTGCTGCCGCTTCTGTCGCTTCTTGCTACTTGATCCTAACCTGTCCTCCTCCTTCTCCTCTTCTTCCTTCTCCTGGTCCTCCTCTCCTCGTCCCCTGGATCTTTCATCCCCTCGACTATGCGTCGTCAATCGTCGATCCTAAGACGGCACCCCCGAAACCACAAGCGTCCAGGGGCATCGGAGCGTGGAAAACAACTCCTCCGGGCGTGCGATCAGCCTCTCGCCCATCGTTCGCTGCCCGTGTCTTGCGAGCAGCTTAGAAGCCTCTTCTGGGGGCCTCCTGGTCGGGGGCCTCTAGGGGGTCTTGTCGGCCTCGTCGGGACCTCTGGGGCCGCCTTGGGCGCCTCGTGGGCCGTCTTGGGGCTGTCTCGGGTGGCTCTCGGGCCGTTTTGGGGCCGCTTTGGGCCGCCTTAGCCGTTCTTGAGGCCGCCTGGGGGTCCTTTTGGGTTGTTGTGGGCGCCTCCTGGTCAGTCCTGAAGCCGTCCTGGGACGTCTTGGACCCTCTGGGGGGCCTTTGGGGCCGTCTCGGGGCAAACCCAGAAGGTAGTAGGCCCGTCTTGCATTGTGGAAACAAGGCGAGGATGCCAAAAACATACGTGTTCCAAAACAGTTGGAACGATTTTTGCTTCTTGGGGTCATCGCCCTCTTGGAAGACTTCCTGGAGGCCTTTTGGGGCGTCTTGGAGGCCTCTTCGGCGGCATTGGGGCCCACCCGAGCGTCTGGAAACCATCTTGGGACCGTCTTAGTTGGCGGCGCTCAGAGGGGGTAATTCGGGGGAGGAGGGAAGGCTTCTTGGAGGTTGCTTCTTCGACGGCGCCGGCCCTGCATCCACAGACAAGGCCCGCGCCTTCTAAGAAGCACGGGTCCTTCTGAGAAGCCTTCCCCTTTCGGGGATGGACAGACCTCCTTTTAGTAAAACGTGGTTTAGTGAAAGCGACTTCGGGCCGCAACCTGGCGGGCGCAAGCCTGGGAAAAAACGGCCGCGGCGCCCTCTCGAGAACCGAAAACTGACAATTCACTGATCGACGTGTCAGGGTAGGAGGTCTATCCACCTCCGACCCTTTTGTTAGGCCTCCTTGGGGCCTGCGGCCCTCCGGAGAGGGTCCACCTCTTGGGGCCGTCTTTTGGGCCTCCTGGACGATGCTGGTGGCATCTGGACACAGACATGATCGCGTCGAAAAAGATCAGGACGGGAGGTATTTGGCCGTTTTCGGCCTCTGGGAGCCCTCGCCAGGCCTCGGGACCGTTAAAAAATGACTCAGGATGCAAAGCCGGTCCTGGGGAAAGGGTCTGGACTTCCAGGGACGCTGTCCTCAACAGAAATAAGGACGTCGCATGTCTGGGGAACAAGCTCGGGGCCACCTTGGGCCGTCTTAGGGCCCTCTTGGGTGCGGCTTGGGCCGTCGCGGGGCGATCTCTGAGGCCTCTCAGGTTATCGTGGGCGCTCTCAAGCAGGAACTAAGGAAAAGAAGAACATTGACCTGTTCCGAAGCCGCCAAGAGCATGTACATCGCTTCCGCTTCCGGAGGCCCTCTCACGGGATGTCTTAGAACCTTCTCGGGCTATGCTAGGGGCCTTCTGGGCCGTGTTGGGGCTTTCCTGGGCCGTCCTGGAGCCATCCTGTACTCTCTCGGGCCAGGGCGGCGGCGCCCCTCCAGCGAGGCCGAAGAGGCACCGCCGCCCAGGGGAGGGTCGCACTTTTGCACACGGCCTGTCTAGCACGCAGACATCCCGCACTGTAGTGCTCATGACGTCGGGCGCCAGCTTCGCCTCCCTCATCTCACCAAGCAGCGCCAAAGCCCGCGGCCACTGATCGCCCTTCTCACACGCGCTGATCCCAGCGCTATAACCGATAACGGTGGGCTCCAGCTTCGCCTCCAGCATTGCGCTGAGCAGCGCCAAAGCCTGCTGCCACTGGTCGCCCTTCTCGCAAGCGCTGATTCCGGCGCTGTAGCTGACTGGGGCGAACCCGTGGACTTCGCCCACGGCCAGCAGGCCCCCCGGCGCGCCTCCACACGCCTTCGGTTACTGCTTCCGGCCGCCTTGCCGAAGTTGGAAGGCGGGCGCTTCCTCCTCTTCGCCCGCCGTCCGCTCCACGTCCGCCTGGACAGCCTCCGGAGCATCACAGATGGCAATGGTGGGTCTGCGGTGTGCCTTTCGCCGCTTGTCTGCTTCCCCTGGTTGAGCCATCTTGAGAGCACCTGGGGCGGAGCAAAGGGTCACCCAGAGGGCTCTGGTGACCTTTTCCCGGTTGCCTCTTCGAAGCCTGATAGCGGGCGCTGCCTTCTGCTTGGGAACCGTTTGGGGCCTCTCGGGGTTTCTTCTCGGCCTCCTGGGGG